TGTTCATCTGTCCTCTTCAACTTATCCATCCATCTATTCACTCACCCACCCACTCACACGCCCCATCTACCTATGCATACAAGGATGCATGCATCCGTTCAGCCACCCATCTATCCATTATCCTTCCTGGAACTCAACCGCTGTCTCCTTCAATACACTCATGCACCCATCTCCACACCCACTCACTTCCCATTCAACCATTCATTCACCCACCTATTCAATTCCACTCATCTATCTATTCACTCATCTGATTCCATCTACTCTGTACCTCCTGCTCATCTACCCACCGAGCCTCGCATGCATAATTCCCTTTGCAGGAGTCCCATTCTACCTGTTTTGTGCCTTTCTTTTCACTCTGGATCATGGTAGCCATAATGTTGAAAGTTCACTTCCTGGATCTTTTCTTGGCTGCTTCCTGTCTGTACAGCCACTTCCTGTTTGTCCGGATTGTTTTGTGGCCATCTTGGCTATGTTTAATTTTCCTTGGCCCTGGCATCAGTCTTGCATCAAGTATTTGCCATTTTGTTCTGTGTCCCTTAGTTGCTCTCATATCTTCCGGTAGACTGCTTCCTGTCTACTCTGCTCCATCTTCTGCCTGCTTTGCAGTTATGGATGCCTTCTCTACCCTGCTGCTGCATCCCACACCTCCCACTCTTGGCACCCTTAACCTTCTGCTGCCTTTCCTTTATGCTGCTGTCTGGGTCTTTGGGGTTGATGTTGGATATGGGAGAATTTTGAAACTGATCATTGCTGTCAGGATGAAGGTGGGGAGGGGCATTTTGAAGATCTTTGTTTTGGTGAGTTGGGGTGGTGGTGAATGTTTCACCTTCTCCCTACCCTTATCTTGGCTATGGCCTGGATTAGGAACAGGCATCTGAGTGGAGGTGTGCAAGGGAGGGAACTGATTGGCTTGGAGTGTACATGAGGGCCAGAGGAAGGGCAAAGCATCCTTGCTGGGAAAGGAACTGTGGGGTGTATTGTAGGGGGCTGCTCTGGGGCTTGGATAACTGAGCCCAAGAACTATATCTTTTGCAAAAACCAGTTATGAGGCCTCAGTTTGGAATATCTCTGGGGATGCTCTCCAAATTTACTTGGAGTATAGATACTTAACTTGTGTAGGGTTTTTACATTTTTGAACTCCTTCAAATTCTAAATAAAATTTTGTGCATAAGGGCATATACTTTTTCTTTTCTGGAGAAAGACTGAAAGACTCAAAGTCCTCTTTCTGAAAAGAGGCTCTCTGGGATTCGGAGAGGTTGTGTTTGCTGAGGTGGGACTGGGAACTGGGGTGCTGGGAACCCTGAGGTCTCCTTGGCAGGCCTGAGAGTTTTGTGAACAGAGGTATTTAGAGGAGGCCTGTGGGGCTTGGGTATAGGGCTGGTCTGGTCTCCAGAGGACCTAAGAATCAAGGTTGGAGTTGAGATGGGGGCAGGCCTGGTGTCCTGGCTGCTCAGGTTACATGTGTGTCTCCCTCAGGCTGCCCATGGACCCTGGGGCCTGAAGGGAGAGAAGAGAGAGCCTGCAGTGCTGGAACCTGTAAGTGATGCTGGTCACAGGACTGAGGTGGTGGAAAGAGGAGAAGCGAGTGGGGTTTGGTGTGCTGGCCCTGTCGCCTCTGAGTTTTAACCTTTGACTCCACAGGGTATGCTCCTGGAGGGGCCCCCTGGTTTAGAAAGCCCTGCGGTGAGTCTAGCAGTGACCTGGTAGCCATTATTTTCTCAGAGATCCCTCCTATGTGTTCATCTGTGCCTTCTTCACATATGCTCAGGCTTCCTCCTCAGAACTCCGGAGGGTCCTTCCCATAAAAGTTTTATTTAAAAAAATTATTTCAATAGTTTTTGGGGAACAGGTGGTGTTTGGTTATATGGATAAGTTCTTTAGTGATGATTTCTGAGGTTTTGGTGCACCCATCACCTGAGGAATGTACACTGTATCCAGTGTGTAGTCTTTTATCCCTTACCAAGCTCCTACTCATACCCCTAAGTCCTCAAAGTCCATTGTATCATTCTTATGCCTTTGTGTCTTCATAGCTTAGCTCCCACTTATAAGTGAGAACATACAATATTTGGTTTTCCATTCTTGAGTTACTTCCCTTAAAATAATGATCTGTAACTCCCTCTAGGTTGCTGCAAATGCTATTATTTCATTCCTTCTTAGGGCTGAGTAGTATTTTAAGGTACATCAATCATATATATGTCATATATATATATATATATCACATTTTCTTCATTCACTCATTGATTGATGGACATTTGGGGTGGTTCCATATTTTTGCAATTGTGAATTGTGGTGCTGTAAACATGTGTGTGCGAGTGTCTTTTTCATACAATGACTTCTTTCCCTCCAGTAGTGGGATTGCTAGATCGAATGGTAGATCTATTTTAGTTCTTTAAGGCATCTCTGTACTGTTTTCCATAGTGGTTGTACTAGTTTAATTTCCCACCAGTAGTGTAGAAGTGTTCCCTTTTCATCACACCTACTCCAACGTCTATTATTTTTTTGATTTTTAACTTATGGCCATTATTGCAAGAGTAAAGTGGTTTTGAAATCACATAATGGTTTTGATTTGCATTTCCCTGATAATTAGTGATGTTGAGCATTTTTTCATATGTTTGTTTACCATTTGTATATTTTCTTTTGAGAATTGTCTGTTCCTCTCCTTAGCCCACTTTTTGATGGGATTATTTGTTTATTTCTTGCTGATTTGTTTGAGTTCGTTGCAGATTCTGAATATTAGTCCGTTTTCGTATGTATAGCTTGCAAATATTTTCTCCCACTCTGTGGACTGTTTACTCTGATGATTATTTCTTTTCCTTTGAATAAACTTTTTAGTTTAATTAGGTCTCATCTGCTTATCTTGTTTCTTTTGCATTTGCTTTTGGGTTCTTGGTCATGAACTCTTTGCCTATGCCAATGTCTACAAGAGTTTTTCTGATGTTATCTTCCAGAATTTTTATGGTTTTGGGTCTTAGATTTAAGTCTTTGATCTCGGTTGATTTTTGTATAAGGTGAGAGATGAGGATCCAGTTTAATTCTTCCACATGTGGCTTGCCAATTTCCCCAGTACCATCTGTTGAAGATGATGTCCTTTTCCCACTTTATGTTTGTTTGATCAATTGGCTGTAAATATTTGGCTTTATTTCTGGGACTTCTATTCTGCTCAATTTGTCTATGTGCCTGTTTTTATATCATTCCCATGCTGTTTTGGTGACTATAGCCTTGCAGGTAATATGATGCCTCCAGATTTATTCTATTTGATTAATCTTGCTTTGGGTATGTGGGCTCTTTTGTGGTTCCATATGAATTTTAGGATTGTTTTTTCTAGTTCTGTAAAGAATGATGATGGCATTTTGATGGGAATTGCATTGAATTTGTAATTGCTTTTGGTGGTATCGTCATTTTCACAATATTGATTCTACCCATACATGAGCATGGGACGTGGTTCTACTTGTTTGTGTCATCTATAATTTCTTTCGGCCGTGTTTTTAGTTTTCTTTGTAGAAGTCTTTTACCTCTTTGGTTAGGTAAACTCCTAAGTATTTTATTTTTTTTGCAGCTACTGTAAAAGGGGTTGAGTTCTTGATTTAATTCTCAGCTTGGTCACTGTTGGTGTGTAGCAGTGTTACTGATTTGTGTACATTGATATTTTATCCTGAAACTTTACTGAATTCATATATCAGATCTAGGAGCTCTTTGGATAAGTCTTTATGGTTTTCTAGGTATACAATCATATCCTTAGTGAACAGCAACAGTTTGGTTTCCTATTTACTGATTTGTCTGACTGTTCTGGCTAGGATTTCCGGTACTTGTCTTGTTCCAGTTCTCAGGGGGAATGCTTCCAACTTTCCCCGTTCAGTATAAGGTTGGCTGTGGGTTTGTCATAGATGGTTTTCATTATCTTAAGTTATGATCTTTGTATGTCAAGTTTGCTGAGGGTTTTAATCATAAAGCAATGCTGGATTTTGTCAAATGCTTTTTCTGTGTCTATTGAGATTTTTGTTTTCAAATGTGTTTACGTGATATACCACATTTACTGACTTGTGCATATTAAACTATCCTTGCATCCCTGGCATGAAACCCAATTGATCATCATGTATGATCTTTTTGATATACTGTTGGATTCGTTAGCTTGTATTTTGTTGAGGATTTTTGCATCTATTTTCATCAGAGATATTGGTCTGTAGTTTTCTTGTTTGTTATATCCTTTCCTGGTTTTGGTATTAGGGCAATCCTGGGTTCATAGAATAATTTAGGGAAGATTCTCTCTTTCTCTATGTTTTGAAACAGTTTCAGTAGGATTGGTACCAATTCTCTTCTTTGACTGTCTGATTGAATTCAGCTGTAAATCCATGTGAACCTGTGATTATTTTATTGTTGGCAGATTTTAAAAACTTACCATTTCAATCTTTCTGCTTTTTATTGGTCTGTTCAGAGTTTCTATTTCTTCCTGATTTATTCTAGGAGGGTTGTATATTTCCGGGAATCTATCTCCTCTAGGTTTTCGAGTTTGTGTGTGTGAAGGTGTTCATAGTAGCTTTGAATGATATTTTATATTTCTGTAATATCAGTGGTATTTTCTTCCATTTCATTTCTAATTGAGGTTATTTGGATCCTCTCCTTGGTTAATCTCACTAATAGTCTATCAATTTGTTTATCATTTCAAATAATCAGCTTCATGTTTCATTTATCTTTTGTATTTTTTTTAGTTTCAATTTCATTTATTTCTCCTCTCTTTGTTATTTCTTTTCTTCTGCTGGGTTTGGGTTTGGTTTGTTCTTGTTTTTCGAGTTCCTTGAGGTGTGACTTTACATATTGTATTTGTGCTCTTTTAGACTTTTTGACGCAGGAATTTAATGCTATGAACTGCTTTTACTGTGTCTGAGTGGTTTTCACAAGTTGTGTCACTATTATCCTTCACTTCAAAGAATTTTGCATCTTGATTTCATTGTTGACCCGAAGATCACTCAGGAGCAGATTATTTAATTTCCATGTATTTGTATAATTTTGAGGGTTTCTTTTGGAGTTAATTTCCAATTTTATTCCACTGTGGTCTGAGAGGGTACTTGATATAATTTTGATTATCTTAAATTTATTGAGACTTGTTTTGAGGCCTACTATGTGGTCTATCTTGGAGAATGTTTCATGTGCTGATGAGAAGAATGTATATTCTACAGTTGTTGAGTAGAATGTTCTGTAAATACCTGTTATTTCTTCTAGTGTAATTTAAGTCCATTGTTTCATTGTTGGCTTTCTGTCTTGATGACTTTCTAGTGCTGTCAGTGGAGTATTGAAGTCCTCACTATTATTGTGTTGCTGTCTATCTCATTTCTCATGTCTAGTAATAATTGTTTTATAAATTTGGAAGCTCCCATGTTAGATGCATATATGTTCAGGATTGTGATATTTTCCTGTTGGACTTACCCTTTTATCATTATATAATGTCCCTCTTTGAATTTTTTAACTGTTGTTGTTTAAAGTCTGTTTTGACAGATGTAAGAATAGCTACTCCTGCTTGCTTTTGTTTTCCATTCATTTTGGAATATCTTTTTCCACTCCTTTACCTTAAGTTTCTGTGAGTCCTTATGCATTAGATGACTCTTGAAGACTGCAGATACTTGACTGGTGAATTTTTATCCTTTCTGCCATTCTGTATCTTTTAAGTGGAGAGTTTAGGCTATTTACATTCAATGTTAATAGTGAGATGGGAGGTACTGTTCTATTTCTCGTGCTAATTGTTGCCTGAATTCTTTATTTTTTTTCCTTCCATTATTGTTTTATAGGCCCTGTGAGATTTATGCTTTGAGGAAGTTCTATTTTGCTGTATTTTGGGGTTTTGTTTGAAGACTTAGAACTCCTTTTAGCATTTTGTGTAGTGCTGGCTTGGTAGTGGTGCAGTCTCTCAGCATTTGTCTGAAAAAGATTGTGTCTCTCCTTCATTTATGAAGCTTAGTTTTGCTGGATACAAAATTCTTGCCAGAAAATTATTTTGTTTGAGGAGGCTAAAGATAGGACCCCAATCCTTTCTGGTTTATAGGTTAAAGTTAATCTGATAGGTTTTCCTTCATAGGTTACCTGATGCTTTTGCCTCACAGCTCCTAAGATTCTTTCCTTTGTCTTGACTTTAGATAACATGATGACAATGTGCCTGGGAGATAATCTTTTTTGTGATACATTTCCCAGGTGGTCTTTGAGCTTCTTGTATTTGGTTGTGTGGATCTCTAGTGAGGCCAGGGAAGTTTTCCTCGATTATTCCCTCAAATGTGTTTTCCAAACTTTTAGATTTTTGTTCTTCCTCAAGAATGCCAATTATTCTTAGGCGATTTAACATAATCCCAAATTTCTTGGAGGCTTTATTTATTAAAATTCTTTTTTCTTTGTTTTGGACTGGGCTAATTTGAAAGTCTTGCTGTTTGAGCTACGAAGTTCTTTCTTCTACTTGTTTGATCCTATTGTTGAAACTTTCCAGTGCATTTGTGTTGCTCTAAGTGTGTCTTTCATTTCCAGAAGTTGGATTGTTTCTTCTTTATGATATCTATGTCCCTGAAGCATTTTTAACCCATATCCTGTGTTTTAAAAAAATTTCTTTAAGTTGTTTTTCACCTTTCTCTGGTATCCTTTTGAGTAGCTTAAAATCAACCTTCTGAGTTCTCTATCTAGCAATTCAGAGATTTCTTCTTAGTTTGGATCCATTGCTGGGGTCTAGTGTGGAGGTGGTAGGGGAGTGAAGTAGACTCTGTGAGAGTCCTTGGTTGTAGATAGACTTAGTTTGTGGCTTTCTCAAATGCTGGTTATGTTAAGCAGTGCAGTTGTCATGTGGACAGATCGAGAACCACTGGTTAGTCAGGATTTTTCAGACAGTGGAATCAACTGTTTTCTCCTTTCTTGGAGCAGTTATTCTGTCATGAGTTGTTGTAATGTCCTCAGTTGTTTGGCCTCCAGCCAGTATATGATGCTTTCAAGAGAGCGCCAGCTACAATAGTAGAAGGGGGATATAAGCTTGCCCTAAGCTGGCCAAGATAAACATTCGGTTTCTCAGGCAATGGGCGGTGTCATAAAGCTCCCAAGAGAGTTTACATCTTTTGTGATTGGCTACCAGGTGGGTAGATAAATGCCCTCAGGTGTGAGCAGAGTTAGGCAGGTCTGAGTTCAGACTCTCCTTGGGCAGGGCTTGCTGCAGCCACTGTGAGGGATGGGGTGGGAGGTTTTTCTCCAGCCAATGGAATTATGTTCCAGAGGGAATTATGACTGCCTTTGTCACCAGAGAAGTAGGGGAAAGCTGGTAGCAATAGGCTTCAGCCAGCTCTCATGCAGTGGGGGAGGCAGGTCTTGCTCCTGCTGTCCCACACTAACAGCATTGAGTTTATCTCCAGGCAGCCTCCAGGAGGGACTCAGACCTCACTCCAAGCTGTAAGTTTCCTGCTTAGAAAGCAAGCACAGCTCTCAGGCCATGTGCTCCCTCTCTGCCCACAATGTTGGCAGTAACTTCTGCTCTCTCTCCAGCAGTTCCTGTTCGCCCCCAGATTCTGCTCCAGAGGATTTGTGCCCAGTCAAAATTATAACAAATTTCAGTTGGATCCTTCTTTCACACTGTGACCCTTTCCAAATTTTGCTGTCTGCCTTCCTCCAGGGCCCTCGTGATATATAGTCAGGGATGGTATCCCTAGGTTTGAGCTAAAGACTGGGCATGACTACAAGGCTCTTCCCACTGCTGCATCTACTTTTTTTTTTTTTTTT